CTCTCTCTCTCTCTCTCTCTCTCTCTCTCACACACACACACACACACACACACACACACACACACACACACACATGCACCCATATATACGTGCTCAGCCAGTGCTATACACACACAATCTGCGTGGACTTCATAATTGATACCCACACAGTGTTCTAGAGCTCTTGTGGCCACAATAGCAGAGTCGTTCAAGTCCTCTCACGCTGTCCGAGTTCGGGACGATCTTGCACAGAGATGGATGGCAGTCAACATCCTGGCGGAGTGGATGCCAGTGATGGGACGCACACTTTGGGGGGCAGGGACACATTTCCCTTCGTCCAACCTAGTATGGTACTCAGAGGGGATGCTGGCGAGGACAGCCTGGCTGCAGTGAGGACGCAGTTGTTCCTTTGTGCCACTGCTGCTGACAACGCTCTCTCTGGAAGGCCTGAGCATGTGGATCGACAACTGTCTTCGCAATCGTCGGCAATTCTTTTCGCAGCAAGTGTTGGAGACGCAAGTCCACATCCTATCACAGCATCACGTGTAATTGCCGCCGCATCGCCACCTGTCATCACAGCTGGACCTGTTGTGCATGACGTCACTGCCTCCTCCATTCGTGCAGGCAGTCGCGACAGCATCAACCCTCATCGTTATGGCATTCATGGCATTGCGCGAGTGGAACCTCCTCACCTGACGACCCGATTGGTTCATGCGACTGGAATGGAGATGGACATGTGTCCACCTCTTCTGGCACCCATTCATTTGCCACCACTTCACCCTTCCACAGTTGTCCCTTCCCATATCATGCCCACTCGCTACATGGAATCATCTCCAGCACTCATTGTTCCGTCGGTTGCAGCTGAGCAACGTACGAGCACACCATCGACCCCGTTGTCTCATTCCTCACCACATTTGCATCCGCAACATTGCATCACAACCCACCCAAGCTCTCATCACTCGCCCTTGACGTCTAATCCTGTGCACTCATCAGCGACAGTCAGTGGCATCGATATTCCAATCCTGTCGTCATCTTCTTCGAGTGATCTGTCACTCTCACCAACCATGCCACCAAAGCTTGACGGAACATCTCATCCCCGAGCATGCGGCTCTGGTGATGCATTCCGTTCCTCGGCGCAGGACTGTGTTGATGATGAGGTGTTGGCGCCTGCAGTAGGGGAAGTGTTTGGCCCCACTGGCAGGGATCATATTGCGGGGGACAAGCCTTGTAGTCAGGAGGTGAACTGCTCAGCGGGGTCGCGGACGGAGGAGAATCCTGCTGCTAAGGATGTCAAATCAACGGCGGGGGTGTGCGTGGACGGAGGAGATCCTGCTGCTATGAATGTTAAAAGTCCTGTGGTGAAACGGACAGCGCCGAAAGGGAAATGGGGGGAAGAGGAGACTATCTTTCTTATGAAGATACGTTCAGAACAACTCGCAGAGAAAGCAAAGGACTCTGAGAGGAAGGGGGCAGCGAAGTCCAACACGAAGGTTTGGGATGAGATATCTGCGTTGTTGAAGAGGGAAGGTTCCAATCGCGAGCCTGAAGAATGCCAGAGGAGGTTCAACACCGTGGGGAGGTGGTTCAACCGTGTGAAAGACAATAACGACAGGAGTGGTTTGCTAAGCTATTGGAAAATGAGTCCATCTCAAAGGGTCGGTGCTAATCTCAATTTCAACATGAGGAGAACATGGTACGATGTACTCGCTCCGTATAACAAGCACAGCCAAACTGCCAATCCCACTCATTTGGTTGACACGGGGTTGGAGGAGGAGGCGCAGACCTCGGCGGCTGTTGCTGTTCCAGAGGGGGTGGTGGGCGGTGAAGTGCGGCCCCAAGTGCCGCCTCAAGCTCCTGTAAATGCGGGTGGTGACGAGCGTGCAATGGGGGGAGGGAGCGGAGGATCATCTGATAACCATGGCGGAGGCCATGGTGCTGGATCCTCGACGGTGACGGGTGTGACTCCGACAACCTCTTTTCAGCAAACGGCGGAAGAACGTGAATGTGAGGGAGCAGTCCTTGGCCGGAGTGACATGTGCGATGAAGGAACACACGGATGCTTTGCGTGTTTCGGCATCGGAGCAGAGCAAGTCCAACAAGGATTGCACGGAGCTGCACTGCGATACGCTGGGTCGACTTTGTGAGTGCGATGACGTGTGCTGTGATGCGCGAGGACATCCTCTCACGGGACAGACAAACTGCAGGGATGGGCGATGGTTATGCTCTACTAGCGAACGCGCTTCGCGGGCTTGCAAGTGGTCGTCGAAGTCGTCGAGCACGCGCCTCGAGTGACGCTTCAATGTCCGATGAGTCGTCGTCATAGTATGACTACTGTCTCTAGATTAGACTTTCAGGTGATGTAGTGTCGTCAGTGTACACTTGGTGTGTGTGTGTGTGTGTGTGTGTGTGTGTGTGTGTGTGTGTGTGGG